TTTTTTTTTTTTTTTTTTTTTTTTTAAATTATTAATCAGAGTGGACATCTAGTATTAGCATTTAATATTTGATGTGCAAAAGTAATGTTTTGTTTTGGTTGCTTTGGTTTTTTTTTAAACAACCTTTATAAATTGGTGAAAAATACTACTTTTAATTCTCATCTTTGGAGTTACTTATATTTTGAAAGTTTTCCTAGCGTTTGCTCTTAAAAGTTTACAAATGCTCAGCAGGATTTCTATTCTGAATCTTTCTTTGATTGTTTTTTTAAGACTCTTTAATATTTTTTATGTTACACAATTAAAGCATTAACATGTCTGCAGTCCCTAATGAAAAATGTGTTTGTTCAAGTAATAAACCAGTCTGTCGAGAGATATAAATATTAAAATGGGGAAAAGAATTGAGTAAACTTCTGACAAGACATGTGTTGAGTACTTTTCTCACCTTGGTTGTGAGTTCAGGAAGCACTAGGGTATGTACTGCCTGATTGGGAGAAATGGAAAGAACTGTGGTTTGGACTATGTGTAACATTCTATGCTTTTGAATATATTATCCTTCAAATTAAAATTCCTTGGAAACATAACTTTGAAATTAATTAGAAAGCTTTGTTCAATGAAACCTTCATTTATTTCAATGCTAGCTTTTCAAAATAGTTTAGTGTCTTAATTTGACAGTAGTCACAAGCCACTGTCCTCTAATATAGAATTGCAAGGAGGTCTGGAAGCATTCAGAAAGGGCATCTCCAGACAGAGATTTTATGGCCCCTTTTTATGAGAGTGACTGTGGAGTTCATCAGTTCCTCTATGCCTTGCTAGAAAATAAGGTATTTTTGGAAAGATGCTGACTCTTCACTTTGAAAGCTTTCCTGTGCTCCCTCAAACCAGGCCTGGTTTGTGTGGTCTCGTGGATGCATTGGTTGGTTGGCTCCCTGTTGTAGCATCCTTCCTACCACCTTGCTCCTAGCACATATGTTTTTCTTCTGAGAGTGCTACTATAGCTCTTGCTTTCTCCTGCATTTGTTCCAAAATCTACATAGTCTCTTTTAACTCTGCTAGAAAAGGAAAAAAGGAAGGAATATTTCTGTATGTTCTATGCTTTCCTCTGTTCTCTATGTAATGCAGGTTGTTGCCTAATGAGGAAAGCTTGGTATAACTGGCCTCTCTTCTTTTTATTTGGATGGTGGGGTTTTTTTGCTTGTTTTTTTTTCTTTTTTGGGGTGGTGTTTGGTTGGTTTTTTTTAAGCTGGCTGTTTATTTATACAAACAAGGCTTTCTCTTTGGGTTCTGCTTCAGGTCTTGTGCACGCAGCCCTATGGAAAGCATTACGAGCAGAGTGAAAGAAATAGGCGAGAGGTTCTGTCGCAGCTACACTCAGTCAACAGATGAACAGCCAGGATCTCATATAGGTATGGGTGTAAAGTGTGTGAAGTGTTTCAGAATATTAAACCAGGGCAAATAAAATGCATACATATACTATTGTCTAATTATTTAATACAGTGGAGCTGTTTTTAACCCAGAACATATCTAAACAGGAAACTGCTGTAGTCAAACAGAACACTGTAAAGAACAGAAGTTTATTACAGAGTAAAACCAAAGTTGCAGTTCATAGCACCTCTTAGCAATTGTAAATTTGCATTCTTCTTCTATTTAAAATTGAAAAAGGAAACGGAATACAAATAGGAAAATTATTGTTGCAACTATCTACAAAATGACATCACTAGAAATATTAAAAAATAATATACTTCAAAACATTTCTAGAATTTTGTGCTGTTCTTGTGACTAGTGCATTTCTCAACATACTTTTTTGATTTGGAGAGTCTATGCACACGTTTGCACTGTTTTCTCAGAGAAGGACAAGTAATGGTCAATTTAGTCTTAAAACCATTTGTGCAAATCGCATTGGGCTTCATCTCTGTTGGTCTTAAATTTCAGATTTTGCTATAAACAGATTAAAACTGGCAGAGATCTTGTACTATAAAGTCTTGGAGACTATAATGGTGCAAGAAACACGAAGACTGCACGGGAAAGATCTGACTGTAAGTAAAGTACTGGCAAAAGAGGTGAACAACTTTTTGTACTCCTCTCTAGGGGGTTCTCTTCAGACAGCATCAGAACAGAGCAGTCTATAGTAAAGCAGTCTGTGTATATTGTTAATATTTTAAAAGGGGAAGTATATGGGAGGTACCTAAATATAGTTCTTACTGCTACTAAAAATGGTATGATTCTGATGTAACTAACCATCTTAATTTGTGTTGCCTTCTAGAATCATGACTTTATTGACAGAATTTTTATTCTCCTCTTTATCTAATTAACAGTATCAATACTTGATTTTAGACAGCAATGCATTTGTGCTGCTAGTCACAGTGAGTCAATTTCATAGTATGAAAAATGTGATTGTTTTGGCACTGTTAATCTGCTTCTAGCCTTTACCATTCTAAACTTTCCTGTCAAAAGAGGAGGTTGTGGTAGGTAGAAAAAAGTAGTAGCTATTCTCTCAGCAATAAGCTATGTGGTGTTAGTGCCACAAAACTCAAACTTCCCAAACATCAGATCATTGACATTTTCTGTAACCTCTTCAGGCTCTTCTGGAACAAGATGTCTTTCACCGTTCTCTCATGGCGTGCTGCTTGGAGATTGTGCTTTTTGCATACAGCTCCCCCCGTACCTTTCCCTGGATCATTGAAGTTCTTGACCTCAGGCCATTCTATTTCTATAAGGTAAAAAAAAATACTGTCTTAGGACAGATATGTATTAAAAGTGGCACATAAGAGTCTTAAAGACTCTTCCTTCCTAGGTAATCAAGTAGGAGAAGGACTGATGTTAATGTGTAATATGCCTATTCTAAATTCTGGCTGTCCTTAAATATATTACCTGGAATGTGTAATGCTGGAGTTGAAACTGAATTTAAAGGAAGAAAACCATTTTTTACATTATACTTAACTGTAATGTGCTGCAGATCAACTTTTAGTTCTTCATATATATATATATGCGCTTTTAGTAGACTAAAGCATTCAAGCATATATTTTGATGATATTCATATTTATTGACTGCAAGCTATAGTTTTGCTTATTAGTGATAAAATAGCAATAATACTCTTTGTTGCCTTTGGCTACTGCTACTTATCATAGGCTTGTTTTATTTTATATGACAACATAAAATCTCTTTTCCTGGATGTTTTCTATTTTTGCTCTTTTTTCAACCTCATTCTCTCCTGCCTCCAGTGTCATTTCTGTTCTTTGACTTGTTTGATGCTTTTATCATCTATCCATATGCCTTTTATTTTTACTAGATGCCTATCAGCTTACTACTCTAAGTCCTGAATAAATCAGAAGTAGTTCTGTTTAGATGATAACCAAAAAAAAAATTGAACCCTTTTATCCTGTTCTCTCTTCTTCCTTCTTTAATCCTCAGATGTAGGGCTATAGTGAAACTGAAACAATCTGTCTATTGCTGTGGCTCTTGGTAGCCTACATATGTCAATACCAGATGTGCCAGTGCAGATCAACTTTGTGCGAAAGATTTACATTTGATTTTAATTTTCTTTGCTCTTCAGTATACATTCTTGCAGCACTCTTAATTGAAAAAAAAAAATTGCCATCACAGAGACTTCACATGGGAGACCCAATATTTACTATTTCACTTGTGCTATTTTTAACTGTTCTTCGGGTGCTGTATTTACTTCTTTATACAACAGAAACTAAGTGCTCCAGGGAAGTTTTATGGCATTTCCATCTCTGGAGCTTTAGAAAAACAAGCTGAATGTTCCCCTGTGAGAAATAACATAAATACAGCGGATTGAGTTGGACCAGAAGAGGTAGAATAGGATATTTCAAGGGCCTTTTCAACCACGGTTTGTACGCGTTAAGTGTTCTAACCTTTTCTTAATTGAAAACTTAAGGTGCTGGTTTTCAACCTTTTTTATTATGGGCTGCTTGTTTGAAAGAAGGGAAAGCTTAAATGCTGGGGTTCTCATGCACCCAGCTGAAGTGGATACACCTGGTAATGTCTTCCTAGATCTGCATGCAGGTGGTGGGTGAGCACTGTGTGTGCTTAGTGCTTTCACTCTGTTCCTGCTTGGCGATGGTGAGAGGGAGCCGTAAAAAAAACCAAAACCAAAAAAGCCAAAAAACCCCCCAACAAACCCAAAGACAGCACCACACCAAACCCTGGGAGTGCGTTGTTCTGCATTGAGGAGACATCTGCTGTCCATATTCAACTCCTGGATTGCCATTGGGAAAGGGGGTTAAAAAAGAGAGATCAGAAGAGGGTTGGGGAAGATTAAGATGTAAGGAGGAAGCTGGAGCGTTCTACGTTGAAGAGAAGTTTCAGACAGGGTCCCGAAATGCAGAATGATTTAATAGTGTTAAGCACGAGCGATACGGCTGTGCTTTTGTGTGTGTGTCTTGTTACCATTAGGTAATTGAAGTACTGATTCGGTCTGAGGAAGGACTTTCCAGAGACATGGTGAAGCACCTCAACAGCATTGAGGAACAAATTCTTGAGAGTCTCGCCTGGACTCGGGATTCGGCACTCTGGAATGCCCTTCAGGCCTCAGAAAACAAGGTCCCAACCTGTGAAGAAGTATGTTTCCCGTTTCCCTCTTACTACAAAATTCATGCTCTCTTTTGTTACTTTTTTTTTTTTCATCATAGAATGGTTAGAGTTGGAAGGAACCTTAAAGATCATGGGCAGGGATACTAGACCAGGTTTCTTGAAGCCCCATCCAACCTGGCCTTAAACCCAGGGATGGGGCAGCCACAGCTTCTCTGGGCAACCTGGGCCAGGTTCTCACCACCCTCACACCAAACAATTTCTTCCCAATGTCTAATCTCAATCTCCCCTCTTTCTGTTTAAAACACTTCCCCCTTGTCCCATCACTCCCCTCCCTGATCCCGAGTCCCTCCCCAGCTTTCCTGGAGCCCCTTTAGGGACTGGAAGGGGCTCCAAGGTCTTCCTGGAGCCTTCTCCAGGCTGAACCCCCCCAGCTCTCTCAGCCTGTCCTCACAGTAGAGGGGCTCCTGCCCTCGCAGCATCTCCATGGCCTCCTCTGGACCTGATCCAACAGGTCCATGTTCTTCTGATGTTGGTGGCCCCAGAGCTGGAAACAGCACTGCAGGGTAGTCTCCCCAAAGTGGAGCAGAGGGGCAGAATCCCCTCCCTTGCCATGTTGCTGGGGATGCAGGCCAGGGTGCAGATCTTTTCTGGGCTATGAGCATACGTTGGCAGCTCATGTTGAGCTTCTCATCCACCAACACCCCCAAGCCCTTCTCCTCAGGGCTGCTCTCAATCCATTCTTGCCCAGTCTGGATTTGTGCTTGGAATTGCCCTGACCCACGTGCAGGAACTTGTACTTGGCCTGGTTGAACTTCATGAGGTTTGCACAGGCCCACCTCTCCAGCCTGTCCAGGTCCCTCTGCGTGGCATACCTTCGCTCCAGCATGTCGACCGTACCACACAGCTTGGTGTCATTGGCAAACTTGGTGGGAGTGCCCTCGATGCCACTGTCCATGTCACCAACAAAGATGTTAAACAGCACTGGTCACAGTACTGACCCATGAGGAACACCACTCGTCACTGGTCGCCACTTGGACATTGAGTCATTAACTGCAACCCTTTGAGTGCAGCCATCCAGCCAGTTCCTGATCCACTCAGTGGTCTGTCCATCAAATCCATGTTTTTCCAATTTAGAGACCGGGATGTTGTGCAGGACAGTGTCAAATGCTTTGCATAAGTCTGGGTAGATGAAGTCAGTTGTTCTTCCATTATCCATCAATGGTGTAACCCTGTCGTAGAAGGCCACCAAATTTGTCAGGCACAATTTGCCCTTAGTGGAGCTATGTTGGCTGTCACAAATCACCATATGCCTTACCAGCAATTCCAGGACGATCCACTCCATGATCTTGACAGGCAGAGAGGTGAGACTGGCCTGTAGTTCCTGGTCTTCCTTTTTTTCCCTATTTAAAAAACAAAATTTCTTCTGTTTTTTTTTTTATTCAGAAAACCATTCAAATGAGACAATTACTGCAGAAAAATTTGTATTAATAGATTGGCACAAAGAGGGAAAATCTATTTGTTATCTTATGTGGATGTTTCTTATTTCTCAGGTAATATTTCCCAACAATTTTGAAGCAAGCAATGGAGGAAGTGGGCTTGGGCATTTGTCTATCATGCCAATATCTCCTATAATTCATCCTCGAGTAAAAGAGGTTCGGACAGATCTTGGTGGGAGTTCAAAGCGGGGTATGTTCAAGGTTTCTGATTTGATTTGAATGTGTGAATTTGGGGAGGGAGGGTTTAGTCTTTATAACTGCAAAAAGCAACCTTGAATCTGAATTAAGCATTCAGAATTGTGAAGCCTCTTATTCGATCAAGGGAAAGTCTAGATGTATCCAGTCAAACCATTGCTGTGTCTGACTGGCAGCAGACAGTGGTGCTAATGCTTCACTTCTGAATTGGAGCAAGTTTTGCTGCTGTTTTGATGCAAGGGTTACCTTGCTCTTGCATGGGTTGTGATCTGATGGCTTATTGTCCCATGCTGGTCAGATTTTTCCAGTTTGTTGGTTTTTTTTTTTTTTTTTTCCAGTGGCTCAGTAAGTAGTAGGTGTAGACTAAACCTTTTAGCATGGCTACACACTGGCCCCTGCACCAGGTTTATAAGTAAAGGTGTAAAATAAGTTTTCTGGAATTTTCCATCAAGCCTTGAGCCTAAACTTGAGAACTGAAGCCCCCCAAAGGAGGTAAACGTTGCAGGGAGAAATTGCTTGGTGTAGCTGAGAGGGAGCTGTCAAAGGAAAGTTGGGAACTGTGTGGCTCACCTCAAGAAGAATGAAAATTGCACTCTTTCCAAAGCCAGAACAACTTGGCTATCCCAAAAACATAAATTAGGAAAGGAATTATTGCATTTACTGTACTATATACTCTTTTTTTGCATTGTTAATATTTCTACACTGAGAATATTTAGGGACAAAAAAGCTGAAAAAGGTTGGATAATCCTGGTACAGGACCGCTTGTCATACAGTGCATGATGCAGCAAACGACTGTAGAGATCTAGAAAGTTGTGCCAAATTTCTTACTTACCCAGAGCCTCAGATATCCATGAGGTACTTAATTTTGCCAACGTTAAAATGCAATCCAAAAAAATCATATTCTTAATCATAACATGGCAAAAGAGACAAAACAGGGAGATTTCTCATGTTAAGTCTGGTCACTGCAATGCTGAAGAGCCCTTGAGAATATAACCCCCTTGTTTATCTCAATCCTGTTAGATGTTTGCCTACTTAAGTACATGCGAAAATCTCTCTCTAAATGACCTACAGGTGTAAATTCCATTGGAAATCAATTACAGTTTATTTTGTTTTTGCCTAAGTGATCAATGTTCTTTTTAATATCCTACCCATAGCTTTCATGCGTGTAGAGGAAGATAACGCTCGCTTGCCTATCTTAGCTATTATGAAACTTCTATTTTTGCAGTTACTGGCATCCAAACTCACCAAGGTAACTGTGCTGAAGAAGGAATGCCGTTTTGATTGAAACTCAGTGGAAACAAACTTTGAGATTTTGCCTTTTTTTTTTCTTTCTTATTATTGGGCTTCTGAAAAAGTGACTAGTTAAAGGACCACCTCCTGCTTATCCAGCAAGGTGCTCATTCCTGAGTGCATGGAAGCTGCTAGGCAGCAATGAAGCATAATCAGAGGGAAAGCACTAAAGGCTGAGGTGCTGCAAATAGGAAACGCTTATTCTTCCCAGCACCCCAAATTGGTTTTGTCATATATAATCAAAACACAAGCTGGATATTGAACATTTGTGATTCAATAATTTGAGCTCTCCTTTAAATTGGCACAAGTAATGGGAAATGATTTTCCTGAAATCTAATGATGAAAATATTGCTGATTTTCAATGCAAAGGTACATCTGTTTTATTTACAATAATGCCCAAAGTTAACTTTAATTATTTCACTTTGCAGCTAATAAATGATCCTGGCTCAGTAATGAGGTCTTCTTACTCCTGTGCATTTCACATAAGCAGCAGGGATCATATGTTCAAGTAGATAATAATTTTTAAAGGTCCTCTATCTACTTAAAATGATAATTTTATAAGAGATGTTCATAACAGCGACCATTTTGTAGAGTATTTCCTACATGAAGCCCTTAATACTTTTAGCTTTCTGTGAAATCTATGGTTTACTTTGATATTTTTCATACTGAAAAATAGTATTTTCAACCTTTATTTTTTGGCCACAGGACTATCAATAAACAGCTATGTGATATCAGTATTGCTTGATTTTATCTCTCACCCCCGTCCCCCCCCCAGTCATGATCTATGTCTTTTTTCTGTTCTGGCTATTAAGCAGCAAGAAGGCAGCGGGCTCGGCTCGA